TTTTAAAAATTTTGAAAAAAGCACGAAATCGACAAAAATATATTGGGCCACAAAAATTTTCCGCTGCATGGTATTTTCTTTTATAATTACTTATGTTTCACAGATAATTTGGAATGTCTGAGTGATGTCCAGGTAGCAGAGAAGAAGCTGTTCTTAATTCAAGGAGACAAACCTCAACTGATGAATTGGGAGAAATATGGTCTAAGGATTGGAGTACAAGAAGGAAGCCTATTGTCCTCTGAGACAGTAGAAGCAGCAGTGGTTGCTCTTGTAGGAGGACAGTTCGAGTTTCCTCCTAATACTGTCCTAGTGAGTGCTGTGTATGCAGTATCACTCTCAAAGCCTCTCCTCAAACGACTCAAGTTAGAGATACAGCACTGCATTGATTTAACAGGACGACCAGATCTTGCACAATACTTAAAGTTTGCTATAGCTCCCATGAGCACACCCAGTCTTCCTTACCTGTTCAAGTTTGTAGAAGGAGGAGAGTTTAGCTCTAATGGTGGGTATGGATTCATTGAACGGAAAGATTTTTGTCTTGTATCTATTTGTGGCTGTGATGGAGGAGGAGGAGGAGGTAGTACCAATTCTTCATCAGGAGTTTCACCTAATTTAGCTGGTTAGTAATTATGCTTAATTACTTATATTCATTTGTTATTCAACTGAACTGTCATATAGATCCTTTATCAGAACCTGGGCCCAGTATGAGGACAAGGAACTCATTATCATCTAGCTCTGGGGGTAAATTTTAATATGCCATAGCATGGAATTTGTGTAGCACGTAATATCAGTAAATTTACAGCCATGTCATTGAGCATGCTCAGCATAAAATTGCCAATTGCTGGAATAAATTTTGCCAATTTTTTTCACTTTATATGTCTACATGTAGCAATGCATAAATTGCTAAGTGATGAATAATACTGTATTTAATATGTAGGTAATGATGCTTCGCCTCAGGATCCAGTGTCTCAACAGCAAGCAGAATCAGCTAGTACTGGAAGTATACCTAAAGAAATATTAAAAGCTACAACATATGCTGGACTGGTTTATTATGAAGAGAAAGGTGTAGAGGATCAGGTGATATTCACTGCAGCTAAAAATTTGGATGCTCTTCTTGAGGTAAATCTACTTTCAGTTCTGTTAATATTATAGATTTTGTGTCTAGTTTATTAAGAAAGAACATTCACTAGCTGAAAAAGGACCTCATAAATACTTTCGCATTGCATCTCCTAGTGGTTACATTGAATTAAAGTTTGGTACTCGACAGAAGAAGTCTTTTAAAGGATGGACTATTGAACCTCACATAGAACCTTGCAGAGTAAAACAGTTAAAATTAATTTTATCCTTAAGTTAATTTTCACACTGTAGTTGCATCAAAGAGACATACACAAGTTTGGTGACAAAGATTATTCTCTTCCTCCATCTTGTCTCATATCAATCTATTCATCACCTGATGCTGTTCCTACATTACACTACTCTGTACCAGTAGAGGGTGTGGCTGATCTTCTAACATTATATATTCACAGATCACGAAGAACAGCTTATCCTAATGCAGGTACAATGTCAAATTAATTATATTAGAAAGAATGTAAAACACTGAGGGGCTCCACCTTCTTGCCACACCTCCTAGTCACGCCTCCAAACATACGCCTACATGCATACAAAATTTCTCATAAGGGCTTCGCCCAATAACTAAACGAATGTAAAACATTGAAGGGGCGAGCACGAGCATACACTGACTTGCATGCATGGCCCATTGGAAGACAATTTTATAGTTTGCTCTCTTACCTTTATTATTGGACTCGTCACACTTGCATAGGCGGGTACTAGGCAGTTGGGTTGTCATTCTGTCCACACAGTTTAATTGATTTGTAAAAAAATTATCTTTTTGTCTGAGCAGTCCAGAGCTCTATTTCTTCTTCTAGTAACAGATAAAGTTGCTTTCTTTCATCTAGTTATGCTCTTGTAGCATTCCGTGGTACCAAAGGCTGTGAACTGCTAAACCAAGGGACCTCTCTCCAGGTGAGAGCTCGTGTTTCACTCTACAGGGCCGAGATTTGCTTCAGAGGTAGAAAATTCCATCTAACGAAAAACAAAAAGAACGATTTTGTCCTAACTTCGTTGTTTGTGAGTTACAGTTGCTCAAAGTTTGTGATTTAGCCTCTTTGAGAATTTTTCAGGTATAGCACTGGGGAAAGCAGGAGCAACCAAACTCTCTCAGTCTCTTTTAAATATCTAGAAAAATTTTCTGTGCCAACTCTTTTTTGGAATAGAGCTTCAGATGCTAAAATAAATTTCAGCTTTTCTTCTTTCTCCTACCCATGTGCCATGATTTAGTTAGTAGTGATGGGCGATTCCGAGTCCGGAGTATTCGATTCTTCGATTCCGAATGGAATCGTACTCGTATCGAAAGAGAAGTAGGAATCGTTTGAAACGAGTCCGAATCAAACCACACCCAGCCACACCCTTTAATATTAATAATAGTTAATTAACCAGTAGTTATTACATCAATTATTCATCATTATTGCATTTTTATTGCTGTAATTGAAACCACGTGGCTTTGCGCATGCGCAGGTGTAATACTCGGAATCGGTATTCGATTCCATCGATTCCAGTCTTAAAAGTATTCAGAATCGGAATCGAATGCAAATTTCTGGAATCGCCCATCACTATTAGTTAGTTGTTGACCACACCCATAGCTTATTTTAATTATTTAGCTATGCAGTCAATAATAATAATTTTTTTCAAATTGCTTAAAATATCACAGTACAAGTAATACATATCACTCAGGTGAATTCCAGCAGGCGAGTCCATTGCACCATAGTGCTTCATTAGCAAAGAATCTCAGCTGCAATTTAAACATAATTTAACTGTATAGCTAAGCACAGTACTGCTATAGATTTATATCTGCTTTCTTAACTTCTTTTTGCTGGAGAAGTGCCTGGACAACAGATCAGTCTTATTTGCTGCAAGTAAGCTTCAGTAAGATTTGCTCGAGCTGGTTTCTTGATAGTCGCCATTTTGTTTCATTGCAACCACACCCACACCAATGAAAATATTTCATCAGAATGCTACCACATTAGATCATTGATTTTAAATAGATAGTAGTGCACACATGGGGTGTGACCAGAATAGGCGTGACTGGAGATGTACATACATACATACATACATACATACATACATACAGAGGGAGGGAGACTTTGCCTGAGTGGGCTCACTCATGCTCGCCCCAATAATAGTAAATATAAATTATGTCTACATGTATTATTATATATTATAGTTGCTCCTAATGGTAATGGCAATGATGAAACTATTCCAGCACCAACTAAAAGAGGAAGAGAAGGAGGTATATGTACACAACATGTTATGACTAGCTATTGACTTATCAGTTATAGGTTTTGATATTAAAACAGCTAAAAAAAAGATCAAACAAGTTATGATTGAGAATCACTCTGATTTTGCTGGGCTTCTCCAGTTTTCTCTGGAAGATGTTGCTAACAAACTGTTTGAGGTTCATATGATTCCTCCTAAAGTTCAACAGTTGCCAACTTATGATGCCATATCCACCTGTTTTGTATCTATGATGAGTTTATTAGACTCTAAGTCAGATTTAGAGGAACATTGCATGATGTTTCTAGAGGCTCTGTCTAGTGTTGGGGGACCAATAGAACGCGTTGCTAAACGCTTGCAAGAAAAATGGACAGCAGCTCTGGAGGGTGCACTTCAGTTTGAACAGCCTGGGAAAAGAGTTAGAACTAATAATGATGCACTTAATGGTTTTAATTATTAGAATTTTTAGTTGATGCTATGTTCTATTTTGTTCTTGTCTTTTTCTCTAATTGTTTTCAGTATTCATTCTTCATTGTAACTGCATGTCCTTACTAAATTACAGTCCCCTGAGATAGGTATTTATGTTCATTCTGTGCTAGCCAGGCGGTTGCAATAACTTGAGACGGGTTAGTGTAGTTTAGCTGGGACAACTGCAGAGGCAATCAAGCAATTCAGGCTTTGCATTAATCATTGTTTGGGTGGGGCTCATGCTAGGGTATATGCAATTCATTAACTCGTCTCAGGGTGTGGCTCAATCTGCAAAAATGACCTCTCTGTAAGTTGTAACTGGCTACAATAATTATTTTTCAACCCTTTTAGAACTCCATTGCATCAACTGAAAGCTTCTGAACCAGTTTCTCCTAATTCTGATGATAAGAATGATGACTCAGAGGTATTCTATGAGACCAGTCAGGAACAATCAATCAGCGAGCCACATAAAACCGAGCCAGTAAATGGTTTTGAACAGTACAACTATCAGAAAAAGAGTGATTTCCAAGATACAATTGAGGATATTGCATTAGCTCTTATTGCTCCTACTTCACCTCCTGGTAAGTAGACAGGCATTCTGCATGACTCTATAATTAGCTGATAGGCTTGTCTGTGAAAGATCTAATCCTCAGTGAAGAAGTTCCTCTCACAACTTGTCTTGTGGTAGCAACAGGTCTTCCAAATTCAGGAAAGACAACTGCTCTGGAATCAACATTTAGAGGAAATATTTGTTTGAAAAAAGGTGCCAAATATCCACTTGAACATTATCTCAAAAGAAAAAGAAATGAGAAATGTCTCTCGGTCTATGAATTGTGTGTACTTGGTGGTGCACCTCGGGATCAGTTTCAGTGGTCCTTTGCTACCAATCGCTGTGGAGCTGTTTTTGCAATTCTTCATGTTCTTGCACGCAGGCATTTTATAAGTGAGCAACAGGCTTATGTCGACCTTAAGACTTTGTTTGATGAGCATGTTCATTGGTTGGTGGAGAAAGTTACTTCTCAGATGAAGTCCATGGAGCCAGAAAAGCTGCAAATAATTCAAGATGGCCTCTCACTTATTAATGTATTGGATGTTGGTGTCAATAAAGGTCTTTATGAATTCCTGCAGACAATGATGTCTTCTTGTCGCAGACACATTCGTCTTGCTTTCTTCTCACTGGATAGAGATGCACCTAATCTTCATGAACCACCTGATCTTCCTCATAATCGCTATGGGGAAAGGGGAGATGATGTAGTTATGATGAAGCAAGGGCCACGATTTGGTTATCTTCTCCATTTTGCTACCTTAGGTTACAAGAAAGATCGACAAAATAACACTACTGTTATGATGGCTACTTCAACTAAAACCACACCAAATCCACAACAGTTACTTAGGAAAGCAAGGGAAGTGATTGAGCCATATGCCAAAAGTCAAGGTGTTCATCAGTACCTTAAATCTTGGGAGATTGTAAATGCTGATGATGAAGATAAAATTAAAAATATTGGAAGAAAAATTCAAGATCTTATAAAACGCAAATATTATTCTAAAGTGAACATACCTCTTTGTTGGATAATTTTACGAAGTCTTGTGACATCTTTGGAGAAGGAAAACTCAAAAGCAATTATTATG